CATTGTTCTAAGTAAATGCGTTATTATACAATATTGATATATTAATACGTGAAGCAAAAACTTTGTATCCGTTTTTACGAAAATTGCGCGGACAGAGGAGTATGAAATTTTCCACACTCATAGAGAATATAGAGAAGAAGTGCACAATGCCAATATTTTTTTAAATAATGCATAAAAGATACATCAAATCAATTAAGAAAACATTACACACACTACATACCATGTATTTGACGCACACACGCATGCATACTATTTATTGTCAAACTTTTGTTATTCACGTCTGTTGTCAAATTGAGAATAGAATATGGTTTGTCTTTGTTAATATTTTTTATAGTGTAGTCTTGGCGAAATTTGTGATTATAGAAGTATAAAATACAATCATAATAGTGTACAAACTTACAATTCCAATTGATTATAGTCGAATTTCGACTACTGCTGGTCCCCTAGTTATTATAAAACTAGACTCCGCTGCAGTAAGGTCAAATTCCAATAATCTTATTATAGTCAATCCAAGGCTTGTCCTTATATGAAAAAGTTCATTTATTTATAATATTAAATATATGTGTATTAAAAAATAAATTAGCTTTTAAAGTTTAAAGTTATATGTACTTATCATAGTAGTGTACGCTTTTGATAAGCTGAAAACTAAACCAGTTTTGCACTAGTAATCATTCAGGACAAGCTAATTTCAGAAATAATGTATATTTTTTTATGAAAATATGTCAATAAAAAAACTATTCTCAAACGGGACTGCCACCTAATTTAATGTTTGCATGACTCATAGAATTTTAGCTTTCACACAAAAACAGAATGCACAGAAAAACGTTTTGAATGGCCGATTGCGATTTCAAAATAAGAGCTCTGTTCCACTAAAGTTCAACGTGGCATGGCGGTTACAGTCTCTCAGTCTCGTCATAATGTAACGATACTATTACTGTGAGACGATTAAAAAAACCGATCAGTTGCTTACCACGGAATCCATAGACTATTGAGGTTATAAAGGCCTTAATTATTTTATTCTATAAATGCTGTATCAATACAATATCTTTAAGCTAGGTCTATATACTCAAGGGCGGTCTTCTTTTTTTCTCCACCTTATCCCACTAGGTGGGGTCGGCAATTTTTCTCTTCCATTCTCTTCTATCAGCCGTCATCTCAACACTCACTCCTCTCCCTCTCATATCGTCATTCACACACTCCATCCATGTCTTCCTCGGTCGACCTCTTACCCTCTACCTTGCACTACCATTTCCGCACATCTCCTAGTCACATGCATCTTCTCTCTACGCATCACATGTCCATACCACGCTAACCGCTCATATTATTGGGCGTCAAGGGCGGTAGCTTCGCGATTGGACCTACTGAGAAAATCGGACGAGAAACTCAGCAGACTGATGTTATGGAAGTAAAAGTTACAATATAACAAATGTATAACAGCTGCCCCATCCTGCTGTTTTAAAATTTTTAATTAGCAAATATAAAAAATGAAAAGAATTTATAGCTTTTTATTTATAGCTATTTAATAGCTTTCAATTCTACCTATCCCGACTTTAAAAGAGTTTAATCCACGTTTATATTGACAATTTACACGGTGTATGTAATGTTTAAGAATTATTCAAGGCAATTTAAGTAGGAACCGTAATTGTCCGCGACCGTTGGACTTCACCACATATGTCTATACGCATGTATGAGTTTCGGCAAGACATCAGCCTCACATGTTTCTCATTTCCATTACATTATTCTCTTTAGATCGATTTAGCTGAACTATATTATTTTTTTCAATACAGACTCCAAACATCTGTTTCATATTTTAACTATTCATTTATTCCTCTATTAACATCATTTGTCATACATACATTTTATCACATGTATACTCGTAATACGTTGTTTTAATATTCACGAAGACTAAATGAACAAAACTTTATTGTTGTTACGATCCGTCACGTATACAATCACGTAATCGATGTGTTTAAACCGTTGACTCACTACAAATTAATTGAACTATAATTACATTTACAATATCCATATTGATGTTGAATTGATAATGTAGTGGACTTGTATCTTTACACTGGTGTGGTATTTAGAGACAGAACAGTTTAAACAGCGTTGTTTGTTGAATGAATCACAGTTTCCCAGACGGAGTTCTCGTAAAATATTGTGAATTCATCCGAGACAGCTATTGATGACTCATACATAAACAGTGTCTTTGGCGCCCCCCTTCCTCAGACAGAACCTGTTCAACTGATTGAAACATTTAGTTCCGGCGTTGAGGATTTAAGTTTTGGTGATTCACTTATCTCGTATATACCACAGCATCTTTGTAAATCCTATGTACTACTACCTATGCATCCTAATGTACAAACACTAAAATCTTAGTATAGTAATTCTCTTAGGCGATAGTAAAATAATCCAATCCGTGATAGACTATTACAAACCCGCCTTTTGAATCCCTACTAATATTCAATCTACAATGTTATTTAAATTGTTCAAATTCGAATGTGTATATGAAACAACAATTTTGTAATTTATATTTTCCTTTCTTGCGTTGCTAAAATGCTGATTAGATACCCTTTATCCATTTCGACCACGATTTTATTTTTATTTCTCTGGGTATATCTTGGGTATATCAGTAACTGTTCGTGGTAATAAGGAAGGTACACATTGTTTAAACTTTAAACGTTAATATGAATCTCACCTCTCACCATAGACGCTATGGTGCGATTAATGGCCCTATATAGGGCGCCTGTATGGGGCCAGTCCCTGGCTGTGGGAACAGCGAAGTTGCAGCAACGGCCGCAACGGACCATCGCGGTCAGGGTCATCCGTGGTTATCGCGCCATCTCTTTCGAGGCGACGTGTGTAACTGTGCACTGGCTGGGACGCGGCCTTTGGTCCCGGAGGAGGGGGCACTCGCCGCTAGCTATCAGTGGCGGACTGACATTCGTGCCCGGAGCGTGGCACCTCCCAGCCCCAGTGTGGTCAGAGCGCGGAGGGTCCAATCTCGGCGGTCCGTGCTGGAGTCATGGTCCAGGCGGCTGGCCAATACTTCGGCTGGTCGTAGAGCCGTCGAGGCGATTCGCCCAGCCCTGGGTGAATTGTGACAGAGGACGCCTCACTTTCCGGGTCACGCTGGTGCTCACTGGGCATAGTTGCTTTGGTGAGTTCCTGCACCAGATCGGAGCCGAGCCGACGGCAGAGTGCCACCATTTTGGTTGCGACTTGGACACGGTGAAGCACACGCTCGTCGTCTGCCCCGTATGGGAGGTGTGCGCCGTGTCCTCGTCGTAACAATAGGAAACGACTTGTCGTTGCCGAGTGCTGTGGAAACGATGTTCGGCGGCGACGAGTCGTGGAAGGCGATGCTCAACTTCTGCGAGTGCACCATCTGGCAGGAGGCGGCGGGGCGCGTGAGAGACACACAAGCCCGCCGCCGTCGAGCGGGAGCCAGGGGGGTGGACCTCGCCCAAGCCCTGGCCCTCTAAGCGTTTCGGGTCCCCCTCACATGTCGGTCTGGGGCCGGCAAAGGGGGCCCAAAAAGACGACGTGCAAGCAATTCTGTACACGTTTTACGCATCGGGGTGATGGAAGGCCGGCTATCCTCGACCCACGCTGGTTCTGATCTAGCGGGGTATTCCGTAAGATAGCCCATTCTAACCGGCGCCATCTAGGCGAGCTTCGGATAGCCTGCCGACCGAGAGGGCTGGTGGTCGTGGCGCCGACGACCGCCAGTCCAACGTCCCGAGGGGAAGAGTGATTGGAGAGATGTGCTCCGCACTAAGCACTTCACTTTCCCCTCTTTGTAATTCCGGATTCCAATTGGAAGTCCGGCAATTTCCTCCGGAACAAAAAAATAACAAAATAGACGCTAATCGCTTTCACGTTTAGCCAAAAATGCCTAATACCATTGTTATAGCCAAAACGCACTACCGTATTAAAAGTTCAAGAAAAAGCAATAAAATCCAATCGAAAACTACTCGATGCCATTCGACTCTTCTTAACTTTATTCAACATTAATTGTAAGGAAGGAATCTAACCTCTTTGTATTTTTTGCATAACATATTCGTTCGTACCGGTTTCCGTTCACTTCCGAATAAATGGTTTTGGTGTGATTAAAAACTTTGCATTAGGTTAATCTGTCTAAGTGAGGTTTTAAAACGTAGAGACGAAGCATACGACCATATTAGCAAAGCCGAATCCTAAATCGATTTCCCAAACTACATGTACAGAAGTCGCGTCGGTGAGTAGCAAGCCTTAAAAATAAATTAGTGACCAAACAAATTAAAATCAACTCAATGCCAACATTGCAGAAAATAGATGGATCAATTCTGTTAAAAGGACATTCACAGGTGTAGGTAGGTAGGTATCTATAATTTCAAGTCTATTTAAAGAGTTATGGGATTTTTTATTTCTGACATCAGAATTAAAAGAGAAATATCGAAGTAATAAACTAGCAATCAAATGATGCAAAGAAAAGTTATTAGTTAATTATTTGGAATTGTGTTATTCTATCAAACAACAGGTAAGATTAATATCGTATCAAATTTACATTCAACAAACGCTTATAAGTGTTATTAATCATCGATCCTTCTTATGAACTACTTCTCATATCAACAAAATACAACACGTTATCATAGTTTTTGCTGTAAATTGGTAATTTAGATAGCTTAATAAGTTACCAATATCAATAAAAAGCAATGACATTATTATTGAGGGAAAAAACAAGGAAATTCACATCGCTTGATTAGTATTTTTTTGTCCCAAGTATATGTACTAAAAAGAATTGTTTAATGAAAATCGAATTACCGAGGTTCATTTCTAATTAAAACCGGTTCTTCTCGTCTAGTTATCATTTAAAAGGAAGCAAAAAACCATGTTGTAAGTCATATATTTACATGTTTGTTTTCGAATTCTACAACATCTGCCCAAACAGTTAGTTATCAAACGCAAACAGATGAAGAAGTTCAAGTTGGCATCGCAAATCTAAGATAAAATTGTCAAACCTGTGCAGTTATCTGCGTTTGTTGTCGTAACCGAGATTAACCCAGTCACACATATAAACAGCAAAACATTGAAACTCGTCATCTTCGTAACTTTAATTCCTACAGCATGCATACATTTTCCTATTATTCGGCTACTCTATTTCATAGCGTTTGATGTTAACAAAGTTCTATTTTAAGCCTGAGCCAAACTCCTCAGATTCGCTGAATTCACATTCCACGATATAAGTTCTTGATCACTATTAGCATACAACACTATTTAATTAACGTGATAAAACCACACAGAATTCATTTTAACTGATTTTTCAGTAGAATGACACTGGCCATTACCGCAAACACCTTATAATAAAGAAGTTGTTTTAAACACCACAAGTGATAAAAATATAAAGTTGTGCTGAATTTTTATGATAACGAAATGCCTTAGTTCGAAAACCGTGGGCGACACGACCGTTTCACAACACCGACTCCGACGGAATGTCAAATGCTTGCTACGCTACCATCAGAGGCCGAACCCGCTTGCGTGTACCCGTGTGTTCAACCTCGCATTGGAATAAGATAACACCATTATAGTACCATACGAGTGAACGAGTCCACTATATTAATATTTAAATAGATTAGCTTTAGTACGTGTATATTTAAATCAAAATGTTCTAAGCCGCAATAAACACGATTCAAATCAACAACAAAAAATGTTAACAGAGGCGATATTTGAATTTTGGGCTTATTATTTTTACCATCACTAGTATTATATCAGTTCATAAAACCACAAAATTATAAATCACATCTGGTAGTGGACAGTAAGGTCAGTGATCGGCTCATTGTCGCTCAAGGTCGCTATTTCACCATGCTTTGCTATAACCATGTCATAATAAATTAATAGTCACTAAAATTTTCATACACCTATAAACAAGTCAACTCAGAAAATTTTAGGACTTAAATTTGTCGAAGCGTTACTATTGTTGATCGAAGAAGCAAATATTTGAAATTGCTGTGACGTTGCTAGTTTTTGTCTGAATTGTTGTACCTAAGAACTACACAAAAGACATTTAACTATTAGTTCTATTTCAGATATAGAGTCACCGTTAAGAAGAAAAATATTAACTACGCCTATAATGATAACATATAACAGGAAAATAATTAGTTGCTTTTTATTTGTATTTTTATGCCAGGTATTAAATGCAACTCTTTATTATTTACTACGGTTTTTGGCGAGTCGTAGACATAATTAAAACTATTTTAAATTATTTTTTAGTTTTCATCGAAACGTCGGAAAAAATAAAACAGAAATAGTAAACGCGAAATGAAGCTGCTAAATTAGTTTTAACTATGTTTTAATTGTATTTTAATTATACTTTAACTATTAATAAAACATATAATTAGCAGTAAGCTTATGAAAAGTGACCATACATTTTCGTACGTACGCGATAATAATTACTACAAATAGACCAATAATAAACGAAATAACATTACAACATAATTATTAGATTATTAATATCTATGACTTGGGATTTAGTCAACTAAAAAGATCGATTTAAATTTTTGATTAATTTGAATGTGTTATGTAGATGCTAATGTTGTTTCTTTGAAATACACTAAAGTGCCGCCATTTTGCATATTTCTGCCGCGCGCAGACTTTCCTGATTGAATATCTTTTCATGCGTAGACAGCTGAACGAGTTCAGGGCCGACCCGGTGTTAGATGGTTACCCGACACCGTAGAAATCGCAACGTGAATGCCATCACGCACCTTGAGACATGAGGTCTTAGCCCCAATTGTATAGCATAGAATTGTATACAGCTATCAAGCTTTACGAACCCTTCAAATCGGAATGCTTCACTGCTTCACGGCCGAAATAGGCAGGGTGGAATCTACCTCGGCGTGCTAATAGGATGCCCTATAAGTAAAAAATGGTGGGTCTGCAGATACTCAACATATAGCAGAACTCATATAGCTTCAGTAAATATTTAATATCAGGACCGCAATGTTCCATTTAGTTCTAACTTGCAGAAACTACACAATAGTATGAAATCAATACAAAGTTGACCACATGACTTTGTAGTCCATATGGACCGTGAAATTGTTTGCCAATTTGCGTGTTACAAAATGATGTACATTCTGATCACAGCATTCTAAACGATAATTTAGATAAATCGTAGTACAATTGTTATCAAGAGTAGATAGTACAATCAGAAATAAATACACTCCGTAAAAAGCTATATGGCATCTCGCAAAACGACCGTATCTCTGAATCCATGTTTGCACAAGGATAGTGTTAGCGATAACTGATAATGGTTGGGATTTCTAATTATTTGTTTTTTACTGAAATTGATGATTTTTTTCTACAGTGATTTTTTATTACTGTAGATTGTCGTTTAATGTGTAGAATTACAAAACAAAGAAATGATATGTTTTGTTTCATATGACAGTACAATGTACATTATACATCCGCCTACGTTTTGTATTCTAACTTAACTCGCTTTCTACGCTAACATCCCACTAAAAGGCTTTACCATTGTTAAGATGGGATGACGTCAGGTTGGTCGGTCGTAAAGCTGTAAGTCCAAATCAAACTACAACACGAATAAAAATGTTACGTCTTTATCTAGTGGGTCAACGATTTACTACTTCTACATTAAAACATACTATAGTAATAGTAAACACCAGATTGAAGGTTTCGTTAATATTTTAAATTCAAAGATATCAATGAAAATCATATTCTCAGCTTGAAAACGTAGAAATGCCAATTACTTCCTCTAATTAAAACAGGCGTTTAGCATATTGGTGATATATTATACATGTGTTGTTTATTCCACAAATTGGCCTAATGACAATTGCTGTACGCAAGGACCCTGCGTTCGTTCGAAAACTGTAGCCTTGACCTGTCGCGTGTTAATAGTTAAATGTCGTTAGAAAAAAAATACTATCCACCACCCGTCTACGTTTTCGTACCAAAGTTACGTGTTAATTGCTTTGAACAGCTTTAATGATCGATTCATGGGGCGAAGATTGCTTAAAATGGTATAGAATTTATATAAAGCATAATTATTTAATTAAATGAGCCTAAAACAGTAATAACAATATGTCTACCTGCACAGACAAAAGTTTCAATCGAAAAAAAAATTAAGTTTATTTCATATATTTTAGAATTACAAACGAACTTTTTATTATATTTAAAAGCGACGATTTCTATATAACAAATACTACCCAACATTGAAAAACATTCAAACAAAACGCTATCATGTAACCAGTTCTAAAAACAAGACGCTTACGTTAATTATCGGTTCGTAAACAAACGGATACTTAACAAAACAATTTTTGACGTTGATAGAGAGAGATAAAATTAGTTGGTATGCCATGTCCATAGTTAGGCAGGGAGCATGCTTATCGGAAACAAACATTAATTTGGTTTATTGTGGGGTCGCAGTCGGGGTGCGGAGCGGGGTTGAAGTTACGTCAAATAACCGTCCGGGTTGTCGCGTAATATCGCACGTACCTCGCCGTTCACCGCCAACCAACATTACAACTTTCAACAACATTATTTGTGATTCGTAATTTTATAGTCCTCGGTTTTTTTTTTATTGCTTAGATGGGTGGACGAGCTCACAGCCCACCTGGTGATAAGTGGTTACTGGAGCCCATAGACATCTACAACGTAAATGCGCCACGCACCTTGAGATATAAGTTCTAAGGTCTCAAGTATAGTTACAAGACTGCCCCACCCTTCAAACCGAAACGCATTACTGCTTCACGGCAGAAATAAGCAGGGCGGTGGTACCCACCCGCGCGGACTCACAAGAGGTCCTACTACCAGTAATTGATACTTCTGAGTTTCGTCTGGTCGATATTCGACGTGATATCAATGCAATTAAACAACTTCAATTTTTAATCTCCAGGTTTGCTACGTGAATACGCTATAAAGCTTCTTTAACGTCTCGGCAAAATGTGAGCCGTGAACCGACTGTAATAAAAAAACAATTAATATATTATATATAATAGCCTGTATACATTCCTTTTACAGTACTTTTTATTGCACTTTACTATTTGGAATAAAATATATGAACGAAAGAATAATAAACGAAGAAATACTAGGTTTTTTTTGCTACTTTACACAAACATACAATATATATTTTCTTTCAAATAAACAACATAACTCTATTCAGAATGTTTTATCTAATATGCCTTATACGTGATAGAGTAACCTTATTTTGACCTTTTGGCAAGCATTTGCAAAGTAAAGTGTAAATCATTAAATCTTTTTTCATAACTTTTAGCAATTTAAAAAATACCGTTTATTAATATCCATTTCAGTTTTGAACTCTTCCATTAAAAGGCTAAAAGGTCAAACTACATTTGACTCACTGTAACATTTCGATATAAATTGAAAGGTACAAAATTCCAAATTACGTTGAATGTTGGAGTAATAATTTAAACGCAATTAACTTCGAAAACATGCTACAAGTAAGCCAAATATAAAAACAACTCTAATTCAATCATACTCGCGATCCTTAGACTTAGGATAAACAGAATACCCAACTATTCATTGTATTAGTGTGTAAATTCTTTAAGTTTTGAAGTTCATATAATAGAAATTGGAACATATAGATATAAGTGGACCTACTAATAGCTTTGTAAAAATGTTTCATTTAGCATTATTACATTTGCAATCAGACCCATTGATTGAGCGTTATGGTGATGATGCTATTTCTTTGCATCACTATGTATATATGAGTCGTCTATTATCAAAGGTGGCAATCTGTGCATTTGGACAAAAAAAAATTATTGATATGTCAATACAGATTGATTTGAATATAATCGTCTCCTTCAAAGAATACGGTTCAAAACCTGCATTAAATAAAGGTTAATAGTTAACCTGTTATTTATCTAAGATGTCGTTCCGAAGAGTTTTGTGACTGCCAATGGAATACAAAGTCAATAATTCGTTTTTCTGATTTACCAATCATTGTTCAAAAGTCAGATTGCCGGCTTTGATAATAGACGACTCATATATACTCGTATCTACCTGGTATAAAACAAAATGTTGCATGATTAAGGGAATTTATTATTCTTGTTTAACTGGCTTATAAAGATGATTTATCAAAAATTCTAAATTAAAATACAAGTTCAAGGAATTCGGTTAATGGAACTCATTGTTACGCCTAAACATACAGTGGGTTGAAAAAGCAGCAAACCGTTTGTTTGAATTGTTAGATAACCAGTTCATGACCGAGCTGATTTTAAATTGGCAAAGAACAGGTTACGTCATATTTGATGGAAAGTCAGCGATTTCCGTCATTATTGAATGCATGGGACTACTGATTGCTATGAACTTATATCACACATTCTTTGAAGAACAAAATTGCATTTCGCAATCTCCAATTTATTTCTTACCATAAATGGGTGACGCTATCTGTCCATAAACTGTGAACATTAATTGAGTAATTTCTTTTTTTTTTGGCCACTTTC